GGTAAATACTTCGCATGCCAATAGGTCTTCCGTGTTCTGCAAACCATTAATTTGCAATGGACCTGGTAGTGGAGAAACGGTCCCTTAAGGCCAATAATCTTAGGCGGCGATCTTCACGGTCTGTTGTTCTACGGCGGCGTCCAGTGCCCCTTGCTCTTTGTACGGCCTTCTCGAAGCCATGCCTGACAACACCTAACCACAGTGTCTACACTTCTTTGCACTCTAACTGCAATTGCCCGAAAAGAAAGTCCAGCTTCCCGAAGTCCCACTATACGGCCCCTATCAAACTCACTAAGTTGACGAAATCGTGAAGGTCTCCGTACTCTAGGCATCGTAACCGATCGTAAAGGATGTCAAGAACCAAAATCCGCCAACGTTGATTCTTTACTGCGGCTGAAATATTCATTTTTAGAGCTTTAGTGAATTAAAAAAACAGTATAAAAACCGGAATGTCCAACTGATAAGGCTGAAAATTTTTTCACTTGTTATTTACAGTAAGATAAATACATTCACCAACTTTATTAAGATAAAACCATTTAAACTGGGTGTTCGGATTTATATATCACTTAGTATAGTAACATACATTTGAAAGAAACTAATCCAGCGCTATGGTAATAGCTTGAATTTTGAGGTTTTACCAGGGAAAAAAGTGTGATTTGTTTTTTCTGGAGCAACTACTAATATTTTATCAGACAAACTGGTATAGAAATCGGAACTCTGAGAATGAAACTCAGGAGGAACTAAGAGTGATCAAAACTGCAGCAGCTATTATCCGACGTGAGATCAAGTTCAAAAGCTACGACTATTATCAGTTTTCATCAATTGAAGAAATTCGTAAGGAGGAAATTAAACTGGTACCTGAAGTGCTCAATGTCTTGATAACTGAAATCATACAGCCTACTTCTAAAAGACAAACACCCGAGAAAATCAAAGGACGAAACAAATTACTGAAAGGATAAAAAACTACTATATGTCACAGTATAATAAGCGCTGCACGTCCAAGATCATTTTTGTCCCCTGTCCAACTTAGAACTAGTGTTTTGTTACACAGAAAATATGGTTCAAAGGTCCTGGTCGATATCCTATGCAATTGGGTGTTTGTGTACCCTACAAGGAAGTTTTAAAATATGAGAGGTCGGTCACTTCCGAAGAGAGCACAAAAATTGAGAACGGATACGTGCAATTTGTTTTCGATAATGCAGACTACAATGTCCACACTCTGGATGGCCACAACACGTGTCATGTTATGGGTGGAATTGCTTGCATAACACCTAAATGCTCTTCAGGTAGAGGATAAAGTTCCTCGAAAGAATGTTACTGCTCATGCTCTTGGAAAACGAGGTATGTTTGATTTGCAAACTTACAGAGCCCCAAGTGCATCTGGCTATTCCAAAATAGTTGCTACGAATATGGCCTCCTGAAAATAAAACCACTGTCATATGAGCATGGCCGATCACTAATTTGTTTTAGTTGAGGGGGTACTTGGTTGGAAGGCCCAAAATGTAACCTGGTGGAGTGGCTGCATGAAATGCTGTATGCGACGAGAGAGTTCCAAACTTCCGCTGTAGTTCCTCTACCATTCATCAATTTGGCTCCTTCAAATCCGTCAACAATTTATACGGCTCTTCTTCAAGCTGCCACAAAAGGGACCAGCAATGGACAAAGCATAACAATGGTGACTTTGATCAGCCTCTGTACGCTAAAGCTCGTGAAATAGTAGCAGCAGCACCTGATGACAGCCCATTGAAGTCAGTCCTTCATTCGACTAGGAGGCTTTCACTTGTTAATGTCCTTTTTGTCAGCAATTGGATTTATCATGGCAGTAAGTGGATTGGAGGAGTTGTACAGTACTGTATATGCCAAAAACAGTGTTCCACAAATGATGAGCTTACTCCAGGGTCATCGTGCCCTCTTCCTTGTCGAAGAGGCACTCGTTACTTTATTTTTGAAAACTAGTGAAGCTTTTATTAGTGTGGATAAAGATGAGCTTAATTCTATCTATTCAGCTTTCAAGCGTAGTAATGAATTTTCTGACGAGATTACGCAGTCACTTGCAGTAAAGAACTTTGTAGAAATTTTGGCAAATGAACTTCAACGCTTAAAAGAAGCAGGACGAACACAAAAACTGTGGCTTCAGTTCATAGAAATGGTTGAGCTTGTTCGAATGTTTATTACAGCTGAAAGGAGTGCGTCTGGTCACTTAAACTACGCTAAATCTGCACATGTTTATCTACTAGACTCGTTGGAACTTCTCAACTCAATGAGCCCAGAAAACGATTTGTTCGTTAATTGTGGTCATTTCGCTATACGACGTACTGAAAAGTTTTGGTCTGGAGTCTGGAGTGATATGACCATTGAACAGGTTTTGATGAGAGCATTGGCGGATTGACTGGAGGCAGAGGAATAACAGCGACAACTCTTGCAACTTGTTCACGGGTGAGTGAAGCAGTTGAAGAATTTTCAGGTGTGCGCAGCATCTCTTTAGATCAGCACGTGGAGCTACGAGAGTCAAGGCAGAAAAGAAATTGCAGGGACTTGCAAACTTTTATTTCTTGGCTTGAGGAACACAATCCGTTTTCTAAAACATATGAACTCTCTTCCTTATCAACAGGGATTGTAGCAGATGAAAACGTGAACTGTGATAAAGCGTTTGAAGTTGGATCACTAGCCTTGAATGAGATAGAGAAAAAAACATTCAATGAGATACACTTGAAAAGAAAGTTAGCTGTCAAGTCTCTAGCCTATGTAACCAGATCCATGACAATTCACAACAACACTGTATGTGTGAACCCTAACACTCTCTTACATCGGATGGTGTGCACAGTAAGAAGCGATCAAAAACTTAAAGAAATATTTCAATTTGAATTATGTGCTTATCCTCGATCTCTCTTCGAAGAATCTGGCTTGATAAAGAAGGGAAAAAATCTTAAATGGTGACTGTTTTGGTTTCACAGTCAAATGAATCATCAATCAACACAGATTCAGATAAAGTGTCCTACATCATTGATGGAGGTCACCTTCTTCATAGAGTTATCTGGCGACGCCCAGCTACCCAGCTACCCAGCCCAGCCCAGCTACCTTCAGACAGATTTGCGAGCAATACACAGATTACATAATTGTTCACTATGGGCCAGCCACCGTTGTTTTCGATGGATACGAGCAAGGCAATACAAAAGATGAAGAACACTTACGTAGGTCACGTTCTAACCACCAGCATCATTGAAGTAAAAGTAGAAGACTCATCCAGGCAAATATCAATCAAAGTGAATTTCTAGCTAACGCTAAGAACAAAAATGGGATGTATGTCTCTACTTACAGTGCACTTGCAAAGATTGGTTGCACAGTTTCGTCAAGCATTGGGGGACGCTGACTTATTAATAGTTTTAACAGCGATTGATAAGCTAAGCAGGGAGTTAATGCTTCTGTTATTGGGGATGATACGGACTTACTAGTCTTGTTGACTGTCCACGCACCCTCAGAGAACAAATTGAAAACGGTGGTACCAAAAAAGGAATCAGCAGGAAAAAAGTGAACACTATTTCTGACATTCAGCGAGGTATTGGGGATATGAAAGATGTACTCTAAGTAATATACGCCTTCACAGGATGTGACACGGTATCAGCTATCTACAAGAAGGGGAAAAATTACACCGTATAAAAAAGTACAAGCCGACAACGTTCCTCGTAGAAAACTTCTAGTCTTCAACGACTCCAAAGCTGACCCAATGCAGTGGCCGAAAGCATTTCCTTCTTGCGATGTTTGGAGCCAAGAACACTGAAAATCTAGACTCTTTTCGCTACCAGTGTTTACTTGCAGGCTATTGCAAAGCAGCCCATACATTCGTTGTTCAAGTTGGCTGCACTTCCTCCACTTCAGCAGCTTCCAGGCAGCATGCATTTAGAACCAAGTGCAGCAGTGGCTGAATGAGAACAAGAATCCGCTCGATTGGGGGTGGAAGAAAAGATTGGCGAACACATGACACCAATTACAACAGCACGTCCTGCAGCTCCACAGGAGTTACTTTCTCTCATAAGTGTGCGCCTTGCAAAGACGAATACGTCCGTAACTCCGAATGCAGAAAGAGTGGTCTAAACTGCTCAAGCATGTGCGGTAATTGCTTAGGCCTAGGATGTAATAACAGATGCACGAGCATAGAAGAAGATATAGAAGAGGAAGAAGGTGCTATGTTTGACGAGGACTGAATACTTTACATTAATTTATAGGTCGTATTTATAATAAATATATAGAAATATAGTTGCAATATACAATCAAATATGTCTACTCATATGCCTACTTTCAGAAAACATCCACAAGCTGTAGTTTAAGAAAAAAATATGATTAAAAAAGATGTAATTATATATCAGAATTATTACACAAATATAATAGTTTATTCTTAATGCGGCATTGTCCAGAGAAAGTTCAGAGTGGGTTTCTCCGCACCACAGGTTTATATGGCCCAGGCCTATAGAAGCCTCTTTTCCCTTAAAAAGTAGCGCCCCTTGAGAAAGTGGTGAGGTTGCCTTTCCTTCAAGGGCTTATCACTTATCTACAACCGGCCACTTAAAATCACCATTCGCTTTTACAAAACCCAATCTTGCATAAAAAAATTGGTTTCCTAAGGCCCGTATCGTCAGTCGTCCTACAATTGTAGGGCGCCTTTATGGCCTCCTTGATTGTCATAGTTTTCTACTTCTCCATGTCAGCGCTCTATTTTGAGGTTATGTCACAAACATCTATTTGCATCAAATTGTGTTTGCTTCTGAGTTATATCAGGTTTTATCAGCCTGAAATTTCCTACAATATAAAAGAAAACATATCTTCACAATAGGAGAGCGCTGACGCTAACACAGGACAGGTGCAATCTAGAAATTTTTGAAGGAGAGAAAGGAGTATGACAATCAAGGAGTCCATAGACGCGCCCTACAATTGTAGGAACGACTGACGATACGGGCCTTAGTGTCATTTTTTACAAAAAATCTAGGTACGTGAAATATCTACTTTCTCATCTTTCATAACTCTGGAACCGTTCACTTTAGCAAGATTATGCAAATTATCATTTTTGTTCGCAATTTAATGTGGATTATTTTTGTATACACCACTTTTTGCGCTAAACCGCATAGTTTGGAAATATTCAAGAAAAACTGATAATAAGTACTTATTTACCAACGTCTACCCCCCTCCCCTCAAATCCGACGCTCCAAATGGTGTAACTTTTTACCGAACATATGTGGACCGTATAGAACAATTTGGAACTGGGGGGAAACTTTTAGTTTGGATGTTGAGGTTTAGGTCTAAGTACACCGTACTATTATGGCTATAGGTACATAGGATATGTATCCATGGATATCTCAAAAGTGTTTATCTGTCAACTGCGGTTCGTTGAATTTAAATTGAGCACTTTTTACTTATGTATTAAATATTCTTTGAATAAGCGGTATTTTCCATTAATTTAACAATAAATATTAATTCTATATTATGAACAAATATTACATACATAAATAATATTTATTGAATATTTTTTAAATAATGGAGTTTTGTAAAAAAATATTGTATTTAAAATATATAAAAGATATTGATTAAATATTTATTAAAAATACTTATTATAATCCAAATATTTATAAATATTTGTTTAAGATACAGATATTTAAATAAGATAAAAATATTATTAAATATTGAATAAATATTTAATGAATCTTTCTTGCTATCGGGGTACTGGAGGTGCTGGGCTTGAAGGGGAGACAGGGATCATGTGATCCGACCTCAGTAGATGTTTAAACTGGCTCAAGTCATTTGGTTGTCCGTAGCAATTTTTTTTGTGAAACAGTTTTTTCTGTTGTGTTCTAAAAATTAGTGACATCAATTTCAAGCAACGGTGTGCTATCAGGTTTTGCTTCAGACTTGGGCACAGTGCAACGGAAACTCTTGCTAAAGAGGCTTCAGAAGGGAGAGAGTCGATTGAAGATGAACCACGAAGCAGAAGGCCTTCATCTTCACGAACCAATGAAAATATCGACAGAATCCGGGATCATGTGCGTTAAGATCATGTTTGGAGAAATATATAGAAAGCGCAGCTCTATTTTTTTGAACTCTATCAAAATCATCTCCTTTTTTTGTATGCATTCTCTTAATAGATGTTTCAGCTGTTTGGTTTGTATATCCTAATATCTGCCTCCCCGCCTGCATCTGATTTCCATGGACCTCTTTCTATCATCTTTTTATTCGGCTGCGACACCAGAGCAACGTAAATTGAATTTTCTTTTGCGAACTGATCCGCTTTGCACCTGTTTAAGTTTACTTGAATTATTTTATTTTGGTGTTGTGGGAGTGTTGCTTCTATCAATTCGCCTGACTTTTCTGTTTCTGACAACCTGAAATTCTTCATCCTGGAGCAAGCTTATCAGTTTTCTTTGAAATTGTTACAGGCGCCGCCTGTTTTGTCACAGCTGTGTTAGCTGCTTGTTGTTTTGTAGTGAAGCGAAGCTGTTTCGATACTTGCCTATATTCCGTGCAGGCAGTACTGTCTGCGCGATGTCCCTTCTCGCTGCACACGTAACACTTCATCTCATTGGTGCAGTCTTTTGCAACGTGCTCGTCGTCTCCGCATTTGAGACATTTCTGCCTTTGGTTCTCCTTTGCCTTACACTGGTATGCAGCTGGAGAGAGTTTTTCAGTTATTTTACATCTGCTCCATCCCGTTTTTAACCGCCGCTGTTCTATCAGCATACGTCCAAGCCTTTTAGGGAGTACCGTCAGGGCAGTGCAAGTCCTCCCTTCCCACCTTTAGGTGCTCTTGGTTCAAAGACAGGCAGACCCGCAACTTTTTGTTGCTGTAGAGCCTCTTCGACAGCTTGGCGGATATTTTCCGTATCTATGTTTTTTCAAGATCACGTACTATGATTGCAACCATTCTTTCTGGTGCCTTTCCGGTCCCTAAAATACCTTCAACTTGCGTCAAAAGCTTTTAGCAGCACCCTTTAAGTTTATCAAGGAGCTTAATGCAAACATTTTGCGTAACATGCGCCAGCTGACCACTCCCGGTGTAACTTGAAGCTGTCAAAACTTCGAGAGGAAGGGGAAATTCCATCTGTTCCCGCTCCGGATCACCACGGGATCTCGCGAAAAAATCTCTATTATCATACTCGTAATAGTAGAATTTTTGGGTAGGTGCCATTTGCTTTCTGGTAGGTTGCCAGATCCGCTTCCACAAAAATCATTTAATGTAGGAGGCAAGTACATTGATATGCAAGAAATTGAAACGTGTAAATTTTGAAAAAGACGGTATCTGATGATGATGATGATAAAGAAGGACTCTTCTGTGGTAAGTGCGTGATGTGGAGGCATCGGACTTTCAATTGTGCTGAAATCTTACCAAAAGTTGATGCCTGGCTCTGTGAAAGCTGCAAGATGAAAAACACAAGAACGGACGCAAGAAGAGCGAAACATGAGGGTGATGCAAGTTCAGGTATCTGGTTCTTCTTATACCTCTGCTGATGTGGTGGAAACTGGAGGAGATGGATAGAAATATAATCAGTTGTTTGAAAAGTATAATGAGCAAGCTGCTTTAAGCAATGATTTGAGGCAGAAAGTATTACATATAAAGAATTAGCTTAAAATAAGTGAGCAAAAAGAATTGAATATTGAAAATTGGAAGGCAGTTGCAAGTACCAATAATTGTAGTTGAGATCGTTACAGCTTTTTGAGTGGGAAAGGTGCACAGTGAGAAGAAGGCAATCAAGGTTATTTTCCACAAGGAAGAAATAAAAAAAATGTTAACATCTAAGTTGAAGTCTGGACTAAATGCTCAAAATATAGGATTCAAAACAAATAGTAACTTTTTTGTAAATCATGACTTAATAAAACGAAACCTGGAACGATTTAAGGGTGCACAAACATTTAAGATATTGTTGAGGAAATCGGAGAACAATACTAGTAGAAGAAATACACCTAAAAAGCTAGTGCATAAAAGTTAAATATAACTTGCATGAACATTCAAAGCCTGCGTAATCATTAGATGAAAGTGCAGTGTTATACGATACAAAGTGCGTTCATATTTTACTACTTGTTGAAACTGGGCAGCAGCGGTGGCCGCAGTAGTAGACTCTTCGGTCTGCTGATCAGTCGCCGTGCGCTGTGCGGGTTCGAGTCCCGTCCCAGGAGAAATTTTTCTCTAGGCTATGGATGTTGTGATTGTCCGTAGGTGGTAGACGGTCTCTGACTATCGAACGCGGAGGTACCACCCGGCGGATCTCGTAGGCGGAGCCAGAATGTGTGCATGTTGCATGCACACGCGTTCCCTCGCCAGAGTCCGTGTGGCGTTCCCCTCTTTCTCATGTATCCCCCTATAGCCCCACGGTACCCAACGGGTGCTTAGGCCTTAGGCCTTCATGGTAGTTGGAGTATAAAAACAAACCTTCCTTTTCTTCTGCCATGCAACTCAATTTCGTCTGTCTCACATTGAGCACTGAAGAACCTATTTCTTGTAAATTTATTTCTTGCCTCAGTGTCCTAAGTGTAGAAGTTTTCACCCTGATCTGTTTTAATTATAAGTGTGTCCTTGTTCGGCCCTGTCTTTTGGCTTTCCCACTTTGCAACCTGAGTTTCAGCGTGTCTTGTCATCACCTGCCTCCCCCTATAAATCTCAACATGCTTGCATTTACCTTTTCCGAGGTATTCTGCATATCGTCGCGACAGGTTACGATTTTTGAATCCAAGCCGGCTGATCAGGAGTTCATCAACCTTCTGCCTTTAACTACTGTTAGAGCTCGCTCTATCATGTTATAGAGCTGTCCCTGCTCGTTGACTTCAGCAACCTTGATAGATATAGCTGTCTTTTTTGCTCTGCACATGGCGGTCGTCACAATATACGTCTGAGACAACGCTGCTGTTTGTCTTAACGACGTATTTGATTTTGCTCTCCCTCATCTTTAATTGCTTCATCTAGTACAATGTGTCTAGCTGCAAATGCGCTAGCACTTCGTCGTCCCTCCTCTGTATTGTTTACCAGTATCAGAGTACTGGCGTCCTTCAAGAAAGCATTAGCTTGCCACGTAACTACCTTACTCATCTGGAAGAATGGTTCTGGCCATTCTGCTTCCTTGTTCAACTACATGAATTTTTCATTGCTTTTTGATGCGTCATCTACTCCCGCATTTAACTCTTGCTTCAGCAGTTTATTGTCAATATTTTTGGAACTCGTTTTTGT